CCCACCCAATTTTACCCACTAGCCATTTTCTAGGGCATAATGTTAGTTTTACTTCCTGTTATTATTCCTTCTTCAGAAAAAAGTAGGTTTTGAATGGGAGGATGGGAAAGTCACTTCCCCAATATGAAATGAAACCTGTTTCCAGAATTCAAAACTCATCCAGGAGGAAATATGGACAAGGGAGATACTACAAGTGCTTGTATGTAAACCTTGAGGCTGTGTTCTAAGTAGACTGAAGCCCTTTCCTGCTCTAGAATTCTAAAATTGTGTGATATGAATGAAGAAACGTGGCAAGGATGAAGGACAGGTGAGTGACATGTTTGGTATTACCTTAGAGATGACTTGCATGCAAGACTTGAGATGCAAGACTGACCGAAAGGACTCAGGAGCTAATGGCAGAGAGAGTTGCCATCACTTCTTGGGTGGAAAAAGACACTGAAAAAATAAACCTATCTCAGGAAACCAGGAAAAGGCATAGAGGCCAGGAAAGACTGAAGTCTTACTGGTCAGACCATGTATAATAGATATCAGGAACCTCTACAAATCAGAATCTGTGCATCCCAAATAGCAGGTGAGGAGAAGACAGAGAGAATTCAAGAGTTATCAATTTTCAGTGATTCAAACAAAGCAGGGGGAGGCAGCAGCAAGGAGGTTGGCTTGGATTTAGGAAGATCCCCAAAAGATGGAATCTGCTCACCCAGCTGGCTTCAAGATAGCACTTACAGCTTCTGGAATAGGGAAAGGTCAGTTTTCAAAAGCAGACTGAAGTAAAGCTGAGTGGTAGGTACAGAGTAGTCCATTTGGTACTAGAGTAATGATGGCCACAAAGCTGATACTTCTTCTGATAAAGGATGGGCCCTGTGACCTTCAGCCTTGAATCTGGGCAGATTTTTTTATTGATTTGATCAACAGAATATGAGGGAAGTGGTGCTATACTAGAGTCTCGTCTCAGGCTTTAAGGAACTAGTACCTTCTACTCTTGGCCCCTTGACACACTTACTCTTTGAAACCAGCTACCGTGCTATGAAGAAGCTAAAGCAGCCTTCTAAAGAGAGCTACACATAAAGGAAACAAGATCTCTCTCCAGTAACCTCAGCTGACTCTCAGGAAACAGTCAACATGTGATGGGAGTGAAGCCTCTTGGAAGTGTTCCTCCAGCCTACTTGAGCTACCCCAGTTGATGGTAGATGGAGCAGAAACCAGCTGTCTCTACTGAGGAAGCTGCATTGCACATTCATGAGCAAAACAGATGATTGCTTGTGTTTTAAAACAAATGATTTTTGGGGTGATGTGCTATGCATCAATAAACAGCCAGAACATTCATCATACTATTATCCTTTTTTATATATGTATATATAAATACATATATTTATATATGTATGGAAATTCCTAGAATAAAAATGTTTTCTGTGGGTACAGAAGCACAGCAGCATTGTAGGATTTAGTGTCTGAGCCCCAGGTGAGGAGTTTTTCAAAGGATGGTCTAGGAACCCTTTACATCAGCAGTCCCTTGAGGTACTTGTAGAATAGATTAGGGGATGTAATGACTCAGCATCTTCCAGAGAGGAAAAAGAATCTACATTTTTCATAGGCACTACCAGGAAATTCTGATACCCCTTAAAGATTCAGGAATATTGGGTCGGAGAAATGGTTCTTGACATTGGCTTCCCTTTATAGTCAGCTGGAGGACTGCACAAAATACAGGGGTCTAGGTCTCACCTGAAGAGTTACTGATTTACCAATTTGAGTTGTACCTGGGTCCTGAAGTTTTTCAAAGCAGTTTGGAAGATTTCAGTGCAGCCTGGGCTGGGAACTGCTGAGTAGGGAAATTAGGATCTGAGAGTTTGTGACATCTGAGCCACAGAGGAGTCTTTGGCAACAATGTGTAGGGAAGAGGGCTTCAGACCCTGGGCCACATGCAAGTGTTAGAGAAGGCCATCTGTGAGGATGCATATCTCATCCTGTGCGATAAGGACAAAATTCATCACTATGGAGTGGAAAATGGGAAAACATGGAAGAGAACCTCTATATCCATACTTATGAACTAGTGGGGAATGAAGATAGCAAAGCACAAACTCAAGTTTTCCTTCATGATTGTGTCAAAAATCAATATTGTGCTGCCAAAAGGAATCTGACTCTCATTTCCTTTACAAAATTATTTGTACCTCCTCTTTAACTCTATTATTTCTCTCTTGCTATAACTTCATATTTTGGGCATCTTATTTCAAGTGGTGTGCTGAGTTATTAAAGAAGTGGGCGGCTGGGGAGAGTTGCTAAGTGGCAGGAATATGCAAGGTGCTTCCAGTAGATTTAAGGCTGGCAAATGGGACCAGACACAAATTATTAATGCATGAATATTCAAGATTTCACCTCTCTGTGCTGCTAAAGATAATTTTGTAATCATCCACTTGATTTCAACCCTCTTCTTACAAGATCCTCAAAATTGAAGAGGATCTAGATGGATGAACTGGGAAGAGGAAAGAGATGGCAGGAAACCACACTGGCCATTTGTTGAGAGTTTTACTTGAGTGTGTGAGAGAATTTGACAAATGAGGGGAAAAGGTGCAAGTACTGCTGTGAATAAAGAAAGGAATCTCTTCTGACAGTAGCAGAGAAATCCAAAGAGGATCATGTTGCCTTTTAAGTACTTTTTCTTGCTCCTGGAATGCCTCATCCATCCTAAAGCTGGTGCCGTCCATGTGAGCACTTCAGGAATAGGAACTAGTATTGGAAGTTGCAAGCCTACTCCAGGGACTTTCTGCTTTTTTGCATATTAGAATCAGGGCTCTTGGGCCAACATTGTATATACTCACGTCAACATTTATTGATAAGCTGCTAAGAATTACTATGTATATTCAACTAGTCAATGTTTTAGAACTATAAGAGAAAAAAATGAGTTTTTTGCAGGTGAAATCTGAAATATTTTGTAAATACAATCATGTGAGAGAAGAAAAAGAAATTACCATTGGTAAGAAGTAACCCAAACCACTCTATCTGTTTTGTATAAAATCAGTCTCTAGTGAGGAACACCACTTCTTATGTGCATCAAAAGAACCAATCAAGGACATGGTTGCGAAATGGCGCTGAGTAAGTGTTTGAGGGCAGAGATGGTTCACGTTGCCCATGGTTCACGTTGCCCATGGTTCACTTCTCTCCATTTCTCCAATTCTTTGCAGTTGGGCTGGGGCCATATGGCTAGACCTCAGCAATGAAGTGGAAATGATATTTGTCACTTTCAGTACATTTCAACGCCAGTGTGCTTCCTGTATTCTTTTCTTGCCCTTCCCACTATGACATGGATGCCATGTGTTGCAGACAGCCTCCTCTAAGATGGAAGCAACCCAATCTCCAAAATCACTATTATGAGAACTACACAGGGGACCCTGCCTAGAGTTATGATATGAGTAAGAAGCACACTTTTGGCCGGGGATTTAGCTCAGTGGTTTCACCGCCTGCTGCACAAGCGCAAGGACCCGAGTTCGATCCTCAGTACCAAAAAGAAGAAGTAAACTTTTGTTATATTAAGCCACTGAAATTTTGAGGTTTATTTGCTACTGAAGCATAACTCAGCTTTACACTGACTAACACACTCCCTGGTGGAAATGGGAGGAGTCTGTTTTATTCTTCTTACTAGAAAATTATGAGAGGAAATCTTATGTGGCTTCTACTTTAGAAATCAACTCAGAAAGGCTACCTTTCTATTTGGTGCCAGCTATAAAGACAGATGAAACATAAGTACCATGAGGCAGGATAATTTTGTGTCTATTTGCCCAAATTCTCTGAGGTTCAGATTCATCTCTTGACTTACGTGGGAAATTTTCAGTAAACCATATGGTATTTACCTGGACTGGAAATCTGGGCAGAATTCTGTCCTGAATTTGAGAAGGATGTAGTAATGCCTTTGAATAGCAACTAGTCCATAGTCAGCTTACCAGTTTTTAACACTGCCAGATCTTTTGCCCAAGGCTGGCAAATTTAAAGAAAAAACTGCTTAGAAGCTTGTGGCACTCAGAACTTTAAAACGAAGTTATTAGGGGCTGGGGGTGTAGCTCAGTGGCAGAGCACTTGCCAGGTAAGCAGAGGCCCTAGGTCTAGCATTGCAGAGAGAGAGAGAGAGAGAGAGAGAGAGAGAGAGAGAGCTACTTAGCTATACACAAAAGGACATTTATTTTTATGTTTACATAAGTAATAATCGGCACCAAATTAAACCAGATTGAGATCTCAAAAATCCATCTGGTATTTTCAACATAAAGCTAAGAACTTTCCTTGAACACTCAACAAGATCATGTTTGTAAAGCCCATGCTGGATAATGCATAAGAAAATGCGTTATAAACTATTTGTGGTACTGTCCATGGGAATGCTCTCTCCCTTAATTTCAGAAAACTACAGAATTATCATCTTGTTTTAAAAATACTATTTAACCACAGGAGAAGTTTAGACTTCTCTTCATGTGGGCAGCTGCCCTGTAGGTGTCTTTGTCCTTAACTGACAGGGCTGTGCATGTCTCCTGTTGTTGTCTATCTCTATTTCAATCATGCACAATCTGGTTATTATGTGAGTCTTATTTTTTTTAAGCACCAAAACCTAGCATTTAGCCTGTGGGTTTCTTTATTTCCATCTAAGGACTCCTGGCAGACGAGACATCTTTCCCTCTGACAGACCTTTAAATGATTCTTCATGCTTTTGTCACATAATTAAAATTAGATTACTTGAATTCCCCGCTGGCCTGCCTGAGTGGGGGCCCTTGTAAAGCCTCCAGCTGGCCCAGGGGCCTTTGAAAGGAGGAATATGTTCCAAACACCCTCCGCCTGGAAGTCATTGTACTCTTTGCCAGTTAGGCAAGATTTACTCCCAGTTTATCAATGGCTGCTTATTTTCTAAGGGCTGCATTTTCCATTTGAAAAACTTGGAGTCAGAGAGATTGCGTGTTTCCCAGAAGTTGGGCTGCTCTGGTCCCCCACTTTCCAGCGCCCAGAAAGCTCCCCACTTAGTAGCTTACCTGGCAGGTCAGCTGAAAGATCGAGCACCCAAATGGACACATGACAGTATGCGTTTCTTCCAGATAATTGGTTTTTTAGCCAAAGTTGAATTCAAAAACTCTCTTCTGTCTTTCCTGGCCCTTCTCCTTTAAACCTCCTCAACATTCTGCCAACAGGACCCTGCTGGCTAGGTTTCTACAGCCTAAATTAGGGCTTCATGCTCAGCACCCCACGCTCAGCTGTGTAGACAGCACAAAACAGTTCCTCTTCTCAACAACACACCTACTCCAGCTGAATTCTCAACATCTGCCTCCTCTCTCTCCTGCTTGATTTCCCTTTAGAAACAAAGGCAGAACACGTAAAGATGAGGTCTACTCTTTGTCAGGGAGTCTCAGCTCCCTGTGCTGAGCTCTGTCTGTCAGGCCTGGGTTTTTCTCTGGCCCAGTGTCTCCTTCACCATCTTTCCCAGGTCATTTCTGCTCTATTCCCTTTCCCTTCTATAGCACAACTGTGGAAGATAGAGTTGGAATCCGACCGTGTGTGGGCTGGACTCCTGCATTAACAACTTCTTTGCACTCTGACCTTGAAACAGTGACTTACCCTCTCTGCACTTTATTTCTTTATGCTAAAATTAGGAAAAGTAATACCTACTTTAAGTGAATGTAGGGAAGGTTAGGAATAATACAATTAATGTCTATAGTGAGTGGTTTATCCTGTCTTCTTGAGAGTGGAGAAATTGCTCTCTTATGCCTAGTTATTAAACACTGCCTCCCTCTTTCTATAAAAGGCAGTTCGTCTTGCTGGTCTATTTATTACTGTTGTCTTGAATAACTCACAATAACATGGATCTCTTTAAACTCTTAAAAAAGATAGCCATCGCCACATTTTCTGCCAGAAAGTCAACTGCTCTGATGTGTGCTTGACAGGTTGTGTGGGGTGTGTGTGTGTGTGTGTGTGTGTGTGTGTGTGTGTGTGTCTAACACTTGCTGAGTATTCAGAATGTGCCAGACACTGTGACCCGTGACAAGCACTTGGCATAGATCTCTTTATATGGGGTAGCTTTGGTTGTATCCCCATTTTACCAATGAGGAAGTCAAGGCTTGCAGATCCAAACTTGCCCAAGGGTCTTGGAAGGTTTTCAGGAGAAAAGAATGCAAAAGTTCCAGCAAACCCGGAGACATCTTTTACTATCCTGCTCCCACAGACCCACTCTGCCTCTCTTGATTCTTGGAGCCAGTAGATCTCAGCGAGCAGTGACATTATGTTGCCACCCAGGGGACATTTGGCCATGTCTGGAGACATCTGCGATGGTCACAGCTGGAAGGGTGAGGGTAGGTGGTACTGGCGCTGGGGTAAAAGCCAAGAATACCACCAAACATCTGACAATCCACAGGACAGCTCTCCTCTCCTCCCCAAAACAGACGTATCCAGCCCAGAGTGTGAGGAGTGCAGAGGCTGAGGAAACCTGCTCTACCTCAGGAAGTATCTCCAGCTGCCTCCCACAGAGGGTCGGGAGACCTGTGGGATAAAGAAACACGTGACGTGATTTTCCTATGCCATCATCTGGCACAAAGCATTAAGGTTAGTGCCAAAGTAACCCAATGTATACAAATGTCATCTATGGAAGATTGGGAGCAAGAAAACTTCAGATAGTATCTAGATAATAGTTAGAGAACAGAGTTAAAGTGTTTAAAACTTAGAAAATAAGGTGACAATATATAGCATGGAATTTATAGTAAATACACCTAGTATAGTTTATGACCTTTTAATAGTATATAGGAACTGATGTGATTAGTGTCCAAAAATGACAAAGTATTCAATGCAAGTAAAGATTTATATGCAAGCACAGTCTTGTATCAGCGGCTTAGAAAACATTATCAGTGGTATTTTGATACAAATTTCGATGTAACGTGCTACTGAGAAGTAAGAAATGGTTGAAAAAGGAATTATAAATGCATATGAATCTAGAATAATCTCAACATTTTTAAAGTTGAGAAAAAGGAGAAAGGACAGAGAATGAAAGGGAAAGAGAGGGAAAAAACATGTATGATGTTTGTTTTTTGCTTTTCAAAATGAATTTCTACTTGTAGTAAATTACTGCCAGTTATTTTTGGTTTTAATACATATTTTCACATTACAGTTGCGATATGGGCGAAGCCCTTTGGAGGACGGTGGATTCTCACAATGGAGCAGCTGGGCCCGGGAGGCCCAACTTAGCCATTAGGTCCAGGAGGCAGAAAGAATAAGAACAAGGAAAATGTTGTAATCTTAAGTTCTTTTAAAATCAGAAGAAAAATGAATCTAATAGCATTAAATAATAACATTGTTCTATTTTGTTAGATTCTTGAATATGAATAATACATGCCCTAAAAATAAACATAAAAGAATGAATCCAAACCAGGTGTGTTAGCATGCGCCTGTGATCTCAGCACTCTGAAAGGCTGAGGCAGGAGTCCAGACCAGGCAACTCATTGACTTAGCAAGACCTGCATCCCACCAAAAAGAGTTAAGAAAAAAGGCTGGGGAAGGCCCTGGGTTCAATCCTCAGTAAACACACACACACACGCATCCAAACTACATTAATCCTTACACCAATGTAGACATAAAGTTTCATTTTAAATATGTCTTCAAAGAAAGGAGACAGTGAAGGCATTTGGCACCAACCCGCACTAATGGGACAAGAAGTACAATGGTACTTCATACTTGTCCAGCATTTCCAAGAAGTCAACTTCTGTAAGATACCAAAATAACTGAAGCTTACCTATTGAAGATGTAACAGCTATTTTTATTTGAACTATTTTTTGAGGGGAGGAAATTTCAGATGACCTAAACACGTTGCTGCCTTCTTCAAGGGAATGCCATTTAAATTGCCCTTGATGTTTCAGTGTTTCAAGGTTAGCATTCACAGTACAGGAACACAATCCCATCTCTGCCTCTGCCTCTACCCCTGCCTTACACATCTCTCCATTGGTCTAACTGTGGGACCCCAGTGGGTCCCACCGAATACATCTTCCAATTCTTATTTTCACTATGGTTTGTTGTTTATGTGGATTAGACACCTAAGCTGGCTAAGATGATAAAAGGAGTCGATGAGCTCTCAGTGATGAGCTGGGGAAAGTTAAATCAATGTTCAGTGGCAGACAAAGATAGCAGCCCAGTGATTCAGAACATGCTTTTTATCATGGTCCTATGGGTTATTTGTTGCATGACCTTGAGTAAATTATGTACTTTGCTGCCTCAGCTTGCTCATCTGTAAAATGGGATTGAAAATTCTGTGCACATCATGATATTTTTTATGAGGACTAAATGAGTGCGTGTTAATAAACTTAGATGAGTGCGTGTTAATGAACTTAGATGAGTGATTGGCATGCCACAAATGCTCCTACATGTTTGTTAAACAAGTTGCAAAAACCCAGGGGTGGTTGAGTCTGTCAGCTGACATAGAACAAAGAGGGAAAGGGAGCCTGGGGTAGAAGTGAGCTGGCCAACTGAGTCCAACTTCATTCCTGCATGCCATCTTGCCTAGCAGGTGTGCACTTTCACATCAAATGGCTCAAGGTACCTGCTGGTTCTTTACCCATCAAGCTCAGGCTAGGTCCTATTTTTGGTCCTCCCTGAGAAATCAAAATAGATCACTTTCTTAAAAAGCCACATAGCCTTGTGGTTGCTCTTTTGATCCCCCTTTTACATGAGTCTTGGGGGCAACCAAGGGTTTTGTTAGACATTATTTGCTGTCCCTAATTGCACCGTGATGGTTCTTTCCATAAATGCTTATCCATGTATGCACCTATGTATATGAGGACATGATTTGGTGCCAACCATCTGCCCAAGGCTGAACCAACACCTCATGGAAAAAGCCATCTTTGTTGCACGCCTGCTACTCTAGCACCAACACGTGGCATTTGGATGAGTTTCACAGGTGCCCACTGTGATGTTAGCCAAGTTTCTTACAAGAACGGGTAACCATAACACCTCAGGATTGATTTCCCTGCCCTGTGGTGTTTCTCTCATTAGCACTGAGGGCTGGCAGGTGTGACTAAGTAGAAATAGTCGGTGGTGTTCCGGAAGCCCAAGGACACTTCCTGAGTGGACAAGGTGGGTCACCCACTTGCAGGTGTCCTTGGGCTTCTGAACTGGCTGGGTGGTCTGCTCGCTGTACCCAGCTTCCTCTGAAACTACACAGGCAGTACCAGGTCACTGAGAGGTGCAGACACAAGGAGAAGAGGTTGACTGTCACTCACTATTTTTCTGCAGCCACCTTAAAACATCTCTGAATTCAATTCTAGGAGTGGTTATAAAGTGTAGTCAGTGGCCTAACTGCATTTAGGAATAGGTTTCCTAGTGCTGCGGAGGCATCTTTGATGTTGAAAGCCTCTTACCAGCCCCTTTTGTTTTTCCCATTGTTGCTGCAACCAGTTGCCCCAGCTGTAGCCTGACACACTGGCTTCAGCCGAGTGGCCTCCCTCTTGCCTGCTGCCCTGAGCTCTCCGCCATGCTTCCCAGGCTGCCTGCCAGGACTCCCTGGCCACTTGCCGCTGGGGCTTGAGGGGGTCTACACCTCTGGGAAATTGGGGAGCCAGGGAGTATGTACTTCTGTTGTGAACAATCCTCAAGAATATTCTAGAAGGTTTCCTGGAGGGTCTGCAATGGGCTAGATCCCCAGGGGACCACAGGCATAACCAGCACAGTGGCTCTCTTTTGAGGTGGCTTCCCTTCTTGCCTCACTATCCCAGGGCCTCCCCAGTCCTGCTCCTTGGGCTCATTTCCCTGCATCCGATGGCTGCGCACAGGCCCTTGTCATGCTTTTGGGGGTGCTAAGAGAGTAGGGAGGGACATAAGAGCAGACAACACGGTCTAAGTGTTCCATGGCCCTTAGCCAAGGCCAGCAACAACATTCCACAATGAGCACCCAAAGAGGGAAACCCATGCCAGCACCCTGTAGATTATGCTAATATGTGTTTGTTGCTAACATTATCAGCAACAACTGAGTGTCCTGTAAATTGCAGGCTTGCAAAATTCCGGCGGGGCTGACAAAAGGAGGAGGGCCCCTAAAATTGCTCCAAAATGGGTAAGAGGAAAATTACCATGATTAGGGAAGAGAAAATTTAGCATATTGCTCTTATCACTGAGTTTAACGGACTTGCTCCTTCCAAACTAAAATGCTATAACAATGTTTTGGTATCCTTAACTCCAAGTTGTATTCCCTGTATTTCATTTCTCAGTGGAAAATGTTCTGTGCCTCATACAATGTCATCTGCAAGCATCCCCACAAGTGTGTCTGAAGGAACACTTTAAGATCCACGAAGAACCAACCATCACTTAATAACATCAGAGAAAATAATTGTAATGAAAAGGAATATTACAGAGTGAAGCTCAGCTGGTCCCAGCACCCGGAAGGAAGCTCCCCCACCTCCATCCCAATCTCCTAGGACAGAGAAGGTGAGTCACGTGGGTGTCAGAAGCACCCCCTGCCCTGTGGAAATGAGAAAACACATAAACAAGCCTCAAAAACAGACTTCCAGATCACCTACAGGAACCCCAAAGGGAAACGAGATGGAACAATCTGATACTCAACCACCTGGACTCTCTGAACTGGCAACAAAAGAGGATCTGGGAAAAATGAAATAAGAAATAATTACTCGGA